CTGCGCGGGCTGCCGTTCCAAAGGAACGACTGGTGCCGGCTGGTGGGGGCCATCTTCGACAGCATCTCGTCCACCTTCGAAAGGTCCGGCCGCCGCTGGGACAGGGACCAATGGGGCAGAGCTCGGAGTCCGGGAGTCCGGAATGGAACGACTGGAAAGAGTTCGGAGTCCGGGAGCCCGGAGTGTGACGACTGGGGCAGAGCTTGGAGTCCGTCAGTCCGGAGTGGGACGACTGGGGCAGAGCTCGGAGTCCGGCAGTCCCGAGTGGGATGACTGGGACAGAGCTCGGCTGGCAGTCCCGAGTGGGACGACTGGGAAAGAGCTCGGGTGGAGTGGGACGACTGAGACAAAGGTTGACCTTTGGCAGGGCTTGAGTGAAACGCAGAACACGACGGGGTAGTGTCTGTTTTGTCATTCGTAGGACAGCTCGCTTGTTTTCACAGCTTCCTTTCGCTATTTCATGCATGCATTCAGCTGAGTAAAACGAATTTTCACATTCATGGCTAGTAGGCATACTCGTGCATCGCAGACAAAGCATTATATCGCCCAATTGCTGGTCCCCACTGTAGTGATGCATGCTGTTGCAGTATGTGTGCTGTAGGTGGTGATTGGAGTCTTTGCTTCCAGAACGTGCAACCGAAACTGGTACACTGACGTCACGTGCGACCTGCTGGACAGATTCCCCCACCTGTTTGCGGGAATGTCTACCAGGGAAGCCATGGTGAGCCGGTGGCTTTACGACGGGCTGGGATGCGAGCTCTGCCTTTGGAGTTGGGCCGTGTTAGTGTGTGTGTTTTGCGCCTTTGGGATTGGATTAGATGACAGTGTGTGTGCATTGCGAGATGATCCAGAATAGCAGTGTATGCATAGAGTAGAATCACTTTGGCCTACATCATATGGTGTAGTTACGGTACTGCCCTGTTCATTAAAGTTTGCGTCAGCGACAAAACTACCGACTGCTAACCAGGATTTATTTGCAGACTTTCATGAGGACCAAGCTGCGAACGAAAGCCAAGAACACGCGACACCGCTTTGTTCAACTGCATCGTCGTCGGTCGGTGCCTCAGTAACCGAATGTGCCGAACAACTGCGTACACAGCTGCATAATAGTGGAATTCTGCCGTACAGGGGACTTTGACCTCCAGGTCAGCTGTCCACTATCGGCACCCCGTGGTAGGGACTGCCGAACTGAACCAGGCAGTCAAGTTCAGTATGAGTGCACGTCAGTACGTTAGTTGCGTGCGAACCGGTACGGTATTTGCTGTAGGTACGTGAGTTCTGTATACGTGAGTTGCGTACACGTCAGTACGTGAGCTGTGTATATGTGTGAAGACGTGTCCTCGGAAGTGGGTAGTGACTAGTGAAGGCTGTTGCGTGGCCTTATGCGCTACATGTGCTGCGACAAACGCTGCAGCCATGATGGCCTGCACACTAGTGGCGCTATTGGGTAGCTATCGATGTCTGTGCCCCTCGGTTGGTGTCCTAAAGCAAGGAGTCGTAGTGCACTGTTTACTAAACAGTTGTTTAGACTTTAGCTTCGTAGTTATAAAGCGGTTCCATGGACAGGCAATAGAGCCACCCTGGTGATGACGATAATTGTTTGTCTCTCAGTGTTACCGACAGTCAAGCGTTAATAAAGATGGGTGTAAATGTCTCGAAACTGAGGTGAAGTTTACCCAAAGCTATGATCATCTTCAGGTACGGACTAAGGTTTACGAACTCCCTTGCACTTATGGAGGTCGAACCCCTCGGTTTTTCGCGAATAACTCGCGCAAAAAGCAGCCGTTCCCAACGAAATTTTCAGTAGCTTTGATTCAATCAACTTGATTCAATCACCTACCCTGCAAATTTCATGACCCTGACTCAAATGACCTGTGACCTGTTTCTCGAGATCATGTCGGGCCGGAATAGCGATTTGCCATGTCAGCGCACATTACCCGTGCGTTTACCCTTGTGTCGTTTAAATGTCATGGGACAAGCATGAGAAATCATGCTTGTCCCATGCATTATGTTGGATTTCAAGGTTACGTTAAGATCAGGTCTTTGAGATCAGTTAAGATCAGTCTTTGACCTTAGGTGACCTTGCTCCACTTTCGAGTTTTTACATGAATCCAGGGTAGTTTTTGGAGCTGATATGGAATTCAGCTTTCTTTTGAACATTTGAGAAGTGGTTTTGGTGCCTACGTAACATGCTACGAAGCTGTCAGTGGTGGTTGACACCTACTATGGGTAGCACGTAGGACGCTTACTGATTGCCCTGATGTGATCTGACCCAAGCTGCCCCAAATGTATGAATATATGATCTTTGGTGAGAACTGACATCGAATAAGTAATCCAGGCACGAAAAAAAAACCTTGCTGTACGGAGTTCAAATAGGTCCCGATTTTCTCGACCTTTGGATCATTGACCTATCCTGGAAGGTCAACCAATGGCCTAGGACCCTTAAATTGGGTGTCATTGACTTCCTCTCGTCAAGGGCGCTTTTTTCGCGAAGCTCTAGCTTGACCCTGGGGTCAGACGGCTGAGGGAGGGGCCGTTGCCCCCCCCCCCCCCTCACAGTTTGACGCTGTAAAAAGGTCAATACGGACGAGGATAAAGATACTTGCAAAGCATTTTAAATGTTCATCAGGCTCTACCACGTAGGTAATGGCTTACACTAGCTCAGACCAGTAGAAAGCTCACGTTATTTTTTTATCCTCTAGGCTCTACTCTATGTCACTCATAAAGTACCTACTCGTATCTTTGAAAGCCATTTGGTTTTGTTTATTAGGCGTGGAGACGGAGAGTAATGTGCGCGGTTGTGGTCCAGTTCCGTGTGTCGGGCGCGAATAAACACTGGCGCTTCTCACTACTTGTGTGATATTTTACAACTCGATACTGAGGTAGGAGGGTGTGGATTGCTGCGGATGCCTCGTAAAATTCGTCTTTTGAACTGTCAATTGAAGTGGAAAAAAGATGCCTTCTGTTTGAAATAGTCGGCATTACAAAGCACTTTTACGCTGTGATCTCTCACACGTAATTTTTTTTGTGTGAAAAAGTAGGTTGCTGCCTTGCATAGCGCAGCCTAGCAAAGCGCTGCCTTGCTCTTGTTTCTTTTCGTGATCCGATATTTTTCTGACTGAACTCATTTTCATTTTTCTCCATGCATTCGTAGTCGACGTCGTTTCTTACGTACCTTCATTATTTTTCTGAAAACCAAAACTTACTGAAACCATTCCAAACACGAAAAGAGCTGGTGATGTTCGTGCATTTTGTTGTCTTCATATGAATCCTAGGACAGAGGAATAGTAGACACATAGTCATATGACGTATCCTGTCTCAATCTGTTCTCTCCATCAGAAAACGAGCAAATTCCATGCTAACTCACAACCGCCAGCTAATAGGTAGGTGTACACTCAGTGTGCTCGGAAGCTGGTTTGAAGCAGTAGAGACGGAACACAACTTTGTCGATTGACTATCATCTGTCTCCCTTTAAGCTCCTTTCTTCTTATCGCCTAATGCTAGTCCTAATGACAGCGTTCTTGGTCATTCCTATTGACACTTATTTTATTAGTCAATTGGAACTACTAAACATGTCAATACGACATATTATTGGAATTCAAGTTACTGATTTATAATATCATTATACCTACCAGCAATGCTGGCTTCGAAAAGTTCCACTCACCGTCCGCTCACCGATGGCCAGCAGCCATTCCCGTTCCAGGCCTCAGGTGGTGTTACAACGGTCCCCAGCCCAGCAGCCATTCCCGTTCCAGGCCTCGTGTGGTGTTACAACGGTCCCCAGCCCAGCAGCCCTTCCCGTTCCAGGCCTCAGGTGGTGTACACCGATCGCCAGCAGCCCTTCCCGTTCCAGGCCTCAGGTGGTGTACACCGATCGCCAGCAGCCCTTCCCGTTCCAGGCCTCAGGTGGTGTACACCGATCGCCAGCAGCCATTCCCGTTCCAGGCCTCAGGTGGTGTACACCGATCGCCAGCAGCCATTCCCGTTCCAGGCCTCAGGTGGTGTACACCGATCGCCAGCAGCCCTTCCCGTTCCAGGCCTCAGGTGGTGTACACCGATCGCCAGCAGCCATTCCCGTTCCAGGCCTCAGGTGGTGTACACCGATCGCCAGCAGCCATTCCCGTTCCAGGCCTCAGGTGGTGTACACCGATCGCCAGCAGCCCTTCCCGTTCCAGGCCTCAGGTGGTGTACACCGATCGCCAGCAGCCATTCCCGTTCCAGGCCTCAGGTGGTGTACACCGATCGCCAGCAGCCCTTCCCGTTCCAGGCCTCAGGTGGTGTACACCGATCGCCAGCAGCCATTCCCGTTCCAGGCCTCAGGTGGTGTACACCGATCGCCAGCAGCCCTTCCCGTTCCAGGCCTCAGGTGGTGTACACCGATCGCCAGCAGCCATTCCCGTTCCAGGCCTCAGGTGGTGTACACCGATCGCCAGCAGCCCTTCCCGTTCCAGGCCTCAGGTGGTGTACACCGATCGCCAGCAGCCATTCCCGTTCCAGGCCTCAGGTGGTGTACACCGATCGCCAGCAGCCCTTCCCGTTCCAGGCCTCAGGTGGTGTACACCGATCGCCAGCAGCCCTTCCCGTTCCAGGCCTCAGGTGGTGTACACCGATCGCCAGCAGCCCTTCCCGTTCCAGGCCTCAGGTGGTGTTACACCAATCGCCAGCAGCCCTTCCCGTTCCAGGCCTCAGGTGGTGTTCACCGAGCGCCAGCAGCCCTTCCCGTTCCAGGCATCAGGTTGTGTACACCGATCGCCAGCAGCCCTTCCCGTTCCAGGCCTCAGGTGGTGTACACCGATCGCCAGCAGCCCTTCCCGTTCCAGGCCTCAGGTGGTGTACACCGATCGCCAGCAGCCATTCCCGTTCCAGGCCTCAGGTTGTGTACACCGATCGCCAGCAGCCCTTCCCGTTCCAGGCCTCAGGTGGTGTACACCGATCGCCAGCAGCCCTTCCCGTTCCAGGCCTCAGGTGGTGTACACCGATCGCCAGCAGCCCTTCCCGTTCCAGGCCTCAGGTGGTGTACACCGATCGCCAGCAGCCCTTCCCGTTCCAGGCCTCAGGTGGTGTACACCGATCGCCAGCAGCCCTTCCCGTTCCAGGCCTCAGGTGGTGTACACCGATCGCCAGCAGCCCTTCCCGTTCCAGGCCTCAGGTGGTGTACACCGATCGCCAGCAGCCATTCCCGTTCCAGGCCTCAGGTGGTGTACACCGATCGCCAGCAGCCCTTCCCGTTCCAGGCCTCAGGTGGTGTACACCGATCGCCAGCAGCCATTCCCGTTCCAGGCCTCAGGTGGTGTACACCGATCGCCAGCAGCCCTTCCCGTTCCAGGCCTCAGGTTGTGTACACCGATCGCCAGCAGCCATTCCCGTTCCAGGCCTCAGGTTGTGTACACCGATCGCCAGCAGCCCTTCCCGTTCCAGGCCTCAGGTGGTGTACACCGATCGCCAGCAGCCCTTCCCGTTCCAGGCCTCAGGTGGTGTACACCGATCGCCAGCAGCCATTCCCGTTCCAGGCCTCACGTGGTGTACACCGATCGCCAGCAGCCCTTCCCGTTCCAGGCCTCAGGTGGTGTTCACCGATCGCCAGCAGCCCTTCCCGTTCCAGGCCTCAGGTGGTGTACACCGATCGCCAGCAGCCCTTCCCGTTCCAGGCCTCAGGTGGTGTACACCGATCGCCAGCAGCCATTCCCGTTCCAGGCCTCAGGTGGTGTACACCGATCGCCAGCAGCCCTTCCCGTTCCAGGCCTCAGGTGGTGTTCACCGATCGCCAGCAGCCCTTCCCGTTCCAGGCCTCAGGTGGTGTACACCGATCGCCAGCAGCCCTTCCCGTTCCAGGCCTCAGGTGGTGTACACCGATCGCCAGCAGCCATTCCCGTTCCAGGCCTCAGGTGGTGTACACCGATCGCCAGCAGCCCTTCCCGTTCCAGGCCTCAGGTGGTGTACACCGATCGCCAGCAGCCCTTCCCGTTCCAGGCCTCAGGTGGTGTACACCGATCGCCAGCAGCCCTTCCCGTTCCAGGCCTCAGGTGGTGTTACACCGATCGCCAGCAGCCCTTCCCGTTCCAGGCCTCAGGTGGTGTACACCGATCGCCAGCAGCCCTTCCCGTTCCAGGCCTCAGGTGGTGTACACCGATCGCCAGCAGCCATTCCCGTTCCAGGCCTCAGGTGGTGTACACCGATCGCCAGCAGCCCTTCCCGTTCCAGGCCTCAGGTGGTGTACACCGATCGCCAGCAGCCCTTCCCGTTCCAGGCCTCAGGTGGTGTTACACCGATCGCCAGCAGCCATTCCCGTTCCAGGCCTCAGGTGGTGTACACCGATCGCCAGCAGCCCTACCCGTTCCAGGCCTCAGGTGGTGTACACCGATCGCCAGCAGCCCTTCCCGTTCCAGGCCTCAGGTGGTGTTACACCAATCGCCAGCAGCCCTTCCCGTTCCAGGCCTCAGGTGGTGTACACCGATCGCCAGCAGCCATTCCCGTTCCAGGCCTCAGGTGGTGTACACCGATCGCCAGCAGCCCTTCCCGTTCCAGGCCTCAGGTGGTGTACACCGATCGCCAGCAGCCATTCCCGTTCCAGGCCTCAGGTGGTGTACACCGATCGCCAGCAGCCCTTCCCGTTCCAGGCCTCAGGTGGTGTACACCGATCGCCAGCAGCCCTTCCCGTTCCAGGCCTCAGGTGGTGTTCCTCCGTTCACCGGTGGCCAGCCGCCATCCCCGTGCCGAGACACACAGTGTCCTGACCTGCCGACACACTCCCGGCCCAGCAGTGTCCGTGTCAGTGGCAGTTGTTTCGACGAGGGCCCACGTGACCCCCTGCCCCTGGACGAGGGCCCATGTGACCTCCCGCTGCCCCCTGCCCCTGGACGAGGGCCCAGGTGACCCCCGCTGCCCCCTACCCCTGGACGAGGGCCCAGGTGACCCCGCTGCCCCTGGACGAGGGCCCAGGTGACCCCGTGCCCCTGGACGGCGGCCGTGTTGTGCCAGCTGTTCCGACTAACGCCCTTCTCCCCCAGGAGACCCCTCGCTGTCCCCCTGGACGTCTACCCTGGCCGGCGCCGCCTCTGCCATCGAGCCCTACATGGTGAGTCCGGCCCTCAGCGGTCTGTGATAGCGTGTAAATAAACAGGCAAAAAGGGGCAAAGGTTTGATGTGTAGGTATGTATGCATGTAAGTATGTATTTATGAAAAACGCAAACAGGTATGACACCTATTTACAGGCGCAATCTTGGACTGAACCAGTGTCTGGAAACCATAACCGCCAGAACCCGTGAACTGTTGCACTTTAACCCGCGCACCTCAGGGGGCGGATATCCGCCCCCCCCCCTTAGGTTTTTCGTAGATAGCGAGAAAACCGCGGCGCGTGCGCCGCGAAATTTGGCACGACTATTCTCTTATTAATTTTACACATGGTGTGCAAGTTTGAGCCTCTTAACTTGTAAGGTCAGGTCACCAGGTCACTTTGAATAACCCAACCTCAAGTCACTTTTTTTGCAACTTTGTCACCTTGCCAGAGCTACAGTAGATGTCGGAGGCTTTTGAAAGTCGCAGGATGTTATAAGGTCATTAATAGCTACAATTTGTATATCTCGGAATTTTGATATCGATGACCTAAGGTCAGGTCAATTTCTCGACCTCCCCATCATAAGTCAATGGAGGGGGGGGGGAGAATTAACTCCCTGTTTTTAGCACCAAAACGGGTCGGAATGGCCCCATAAACCATACATGACTTCATAATATCAACCTTCACTAAATTGAGGTCTATTTTGCTGTTGGGCAGCTGTTAGGTCATGTGACGTCATCAAAGGTCACCAAAGTTTTTTTTTGCCAATAACTCCGTACAGGAACAAGATACAGCCGCGCGGATGGTCTCATTATGTTCAGCTCGTCAAGGCGCATCGAATGATATACATGATGGCCTCGAGGTCACGTGACCTGAGGTCAACCTTTGACCTTGACCTTCCGAGGTAAACAAATATATGGTTCGATGCGGATTGACAAGAGGATCACGATGGTGCCCTTAGTTTGTTCCTATCTTGACTAGTTCGAAAGCTATTCGAGAAAAACTCTCCATATCTAGCGCCACCATTTTGACTTTTTTGACCCCTGTGACGTCATCTTTGACCTGAACTGAAAACGACCTTAGTAAAAATTGTAGACCTTGTCCGTAAGTATCCCATGCCGTTTACCGCTTGTCGCTATCTTGCTTCGTTCTCGAGCTCTCAGGGGGGCGGTCATCCCGCATGCGCCCCCCCCCCCCCCCGTCGGTTCTAAGCTGGCGCAGACCCCCGTCGGTGCGCGGGTTAATAAAACTAATTTTCCCTTACCCCGTAGCGTTATTGCCGGACCCTGCCACCCGTGGTGGGGGGGGGGGGGCGTTTCGGCCCCTCTAGAATCTCGGAAAGTTAACTATTGATTTTCAAACTTCAAACGGCGTTGGATAGCCCCACCGGGGAACTACCTTGTGGCCCAATTTCATTGACCTAGGTCCAAACGATGATGTAGATCGTTGGATCGAATGATGGCCTATTAGGTCAGGTTTTGATAATGTTTTTCGCTCAATTCCTTAAAACAGTTTTCAGTCAGGCGATTCAGCAGTCAACATACCTACATGGTGAATATCACCTTATTTTTAGTTTTGTTGTGTAAATATTTATTTTTCTTCCTGGCTGACAATATGTGACTTAAAAGGTGCTATCAATTTTTTATAAGGTGTCTGAACAAGGCATTTGACCGTTGCACGGGGCGTTTCGTTTTCCTGGTGACAGTGGAGCACGGAGGTATGTTGGCAATGTTGCGCTTACACCCGGCGCAAAGCTGCCGGCTGCTGCGCTCCATAACCTCGCTGTATTTTAGCTCCCGTTAGTTTTATTCCTAGCATTAGTATAGCATTTGAAGTTTTTCGTTAAATATCTATGTCTGGCCTTCTGTTACATCACCTCTGTTCCAGGCGACCGGGAACTAACTGTCGAAATGCGTGGTAAACTTTACTACCTAACTCATTTTATCTGGATTAGTTACCTGATTAAATTAATTAATGTACCTATTAGCAATAACATGAAGTAAGCTCCATTTCAAAACTCAATTTTCAGTTCAATATTAAACCAGGCATAATCCTCATGCTTACATAGCCTCTAGGGGTCAATTACAATAAGCGGAGTGCACGTTCGTCAGGATTCATCGAATAAAAGCGAAAGGTTCAAGTTAATAGGTAATAGGTATTTGTCCGGCATCACTTAATTTTGTTTTAGCCATTCCATCCCAACCAAAGTAAGTATTCAAATTTCAAAGAATTAACAGAAGGTTATTGTTACATATTATTATGCTTACAATAATGTTAATGTTTTAAAATGCCATTGCTTGCGTACCTACCTACAACGAAATCAATCCACCTGACGTTGACTTTCTTGGAGTTCGTGCTGGAAAGGCATGACTTGTTGTCGTGTTCTTTCCTTTTTCTAAAAAAAAAAATATAAGAGTAAATCTTTATATTTCCAAGACAAATAACGTTTTCGTTTGTCTACCTCTTGTATTTTTCTTCCTAATGCATTACTAAAAGGTCTGAGGCCGCTAAATTGATTGAAAAATCTTCAACGTATTGAAATTTTGGCATGGTAGGTATACCAAAGCATTTTTTAACCCGCGCCCCACTGGGGTCTGCGTATAACACGCCCTACTGGGGGGGGGCTCTCCATAGCCCCCCTCCTAACTCCGAAACTGCTGTGTCGATCGTCAAAATTCAAACGGCGTCTGATAGCCCTAGAAAAACTGTCGAACGAAACCTAATTTCATTGACCTCGAGGTCACCGATGACGTCACAGGTCAGGTCAAAGTAAAAATTATTAGCATTTCGGCTTGTTCACATTTTGGGATCTGGCCGCTGTCTTACAAGTCAGATCAGGCTCATTTTTGGTTTACACACTCGTGAACAGATGCTCAAGATACCTTGAGGGTACTAAACTTGTACTTTGATTTTCAGGTCAGGGTCAGGTCATCACAGGTCACGGAAATATTATATCATGCGTCGGTCATGTGACACATGTGTTATGGTCCATTTAGGCCATATATTTCGAATTTGATGTCGTCTGTGTCATTCGAGGTCATTTTGAGTCGAATTTAGCTTAGGTCAGGTCACTTTCAGGTCAAAAAAGGTCAAATTTTGAAGTTTTAATTTTTCAACAATAAAGGTGTCTATTGGATGCAGTTTGAGCTCAGGAACACGATGGTGCTATTTATATTGGTGTACGATGTCAAAAACGTACTGAAAAATTGATTTGAAAAATTAATAATTGTGAATTTTTTGCAATAATGCGTATGACTTGGCCATTTTTGAAGATATTTCGCTAAAACTTGCTAGAGTTAGTCATAAGCATGCGTTCTGTCACACATATTCCGGTTTTTTTCGAAAAGGGAAAAACTTTTTGAAAAATAAAAATAAAAAAATAAAAATTTTGAATATTATTTTGTAAAATTTTCGAAATTTTCAAAATGTTGAAAATCCGAGATAGCAGTTTGATAGCGCAGTCAGTTCTGAGTCCTTTCATGCAAAGAAATTGGATCTAGCTTAAAAACTGAGCTCTTGGGAGCGACTGCCGTGGTTCAATGTTTGGCGTTAAAATCGGCCGAACATGACGTCACTCTGACGTCATTTCCGGCCGACCTATGGTAGCTACGAAGTTCAAATTTTGACACAAGGTGTCAAATTGATGCAGCCAAAGGTACTGAAAGTTTGGCGTCGATACGTCAAGTTGTTTGGAAGTTATTGCAGAAAAACGGGAGGGGGGCTATGAATAGCCCCCCCCCCCCAGTGGGGCGCGGGTTAAGGAAAGGAAGGTTATGATAAAAATTAATGCTTCATTACCTCAACTTGACCTTCAATTATCTCTCTCTCTCTCTCTCTCTCTCTCTCTCTCTCTCTCTCTCTCTCTCTCTCTCTCTCTCTCTCTCTCTCTCTCTCTCTCTCTCTCTCTCTCTCTCTCTCTCTCTCTCTCTCTCTCTCTCCTCTCTCTCTCTCTCTCTCTCTCTCTCTCTCTCTCTCTCTCTCTCTCTCTCTCTCTCTCTCTCTCTCTCTCTCTCTCTCTCTCTCTCTCTCTCTCTCTCTCTCTCTCTCTCTCTCTCTCTCTCTCTCTCTCTCTCTCTCTCTCTCTCTCTCTCTCTCTCTCTCTCTCTCTCTCTCTCTCTCTCTCTCTCTCTCTCTCTCTCTCTCTCTCTCTCTCTCTCTCTCTCTCTCTCTCTCTCTCTCTCTCTCTCTCTCTCTCTCTCTCTCCTCTCTCTCTCTCTCTCTCTCTCTCTCTCTCTCTCTCTCTCTCTCTCTCTCTCTCTCTCTCTCTCTCTCTCTCTCTCTCTCTCTCTCTCTCTCTCTCTCTCTCTCTCTCTCTCTCTCTCTCTCTCTCTCTCTCTCTCTCTCTCTCTCTCTCTCTCTCTCTCTCTCTCTCTCTCTCTCTCTCTCTCTCTCTCTCTCTCTCTCTCTCTCTCTGTCTCTCTGTCTCAAATTTTGAAAATTCTCAAAATTCTCTCTGTCTCTCTGTCTCTCTGTCTCTCTGTCTCAAATTTTGAAAATTCTCAAAATTCTCTCTGTCTCTCTGTCTCTCTGTCTCTCTGTCTCTCTGTCTCTCTCTGTCTCTCTCTCTCTCTCTCTCTCTCTCTCTCTCTCTCTCTCTCTCTCTCTCTCTCTCTCTCTCTCTCTCTCTCTCTCTCTCTCTCTCTCTCTCTCTCTCTCCGCGGCAGACGTTTGGCGGTGACAGTATGATGTCCGCTGCTGAGCAGAGCTTCATGGCCGACCAGACTCACGGCAGGTAATGTGCCACTCCATTGTTTATGATATTGTGTTACTATGTGAGTCAAAAAGTTCCGTAACTTATAAATGTTTCACTTTTACTTTTGCTAGTTGTTTAAAGTTAAAAGAAATGCACGCGGTCAAGACAAGGCTTGATTCGATTGGTTCGGTTTATCAGTAAATCAATGACAAATTGATTCGCTATTTATGTAGTCTGGATGTGCTATTTAGAAACAGGCGAAGGTTTGCTGCACATTACCGTTGTACATATATTCTACGGACCACCACCAATGACCGGAGGTTTGAGCGGCGCCACCGTCGCTCTACCTGCTGCAGTTATCCACTGCGGTTTTCAGCGGCGGTCAGCACGCCGTTTGACCTCACCGGTGACCGTGTGTTGCAGCGGCTCACTGGCTCTCGGCGGCGGTAGCGATGAGTTCTCCGAGCACCCCGACTGGTACGTTCAACAAACGACAGAGAGCGCCAGCCGCCGCGTGAACATGTCACAGATGGGACTCTTCTGAGCACAAACAGTTTTAAGCACAAACCAGTGTGTTGGCAGTCTTTTCAGTGGGTAGTCGTTCTTTATTCATGATAAAGTCTGGTTTGATTAATAAAGAAAATACATTTTTATAAGAAACTGAAGACAAGTAAGCAAATGGCGATCCCTTTTGCATTGATTTGGTGCTTTTGTTCTTTGATTGTTTCCCGCCTCTTTATTCGACGTTATGCGGGGATTCTCGTTCCCCTTATTTCACGCCCCAGCCTACACTCCTTCTTTGTGTTGCCTGCTTTAGCCGAGTTCCAGCCTCGGCTGAAGCTCGGCGGACCGTTGGTTTTCAGGCAGGCGCGTCTGGAGCTGGACTGGTTCCCGCTGCTCATACAGCAGAAGCTGCTGGAGCAGCAGCCGTTCGTCCAGCATGACTGGTCCAGCTTCATGACCGTCATCTTCGAGCGCTTCTTCTCACTCGAGTGTCCGTACGTACGGAGTCCTCTGGCCGAAAACAGCCGAGGACTGGGAACGGTCGGTGGCTCATCTTTGTCGGGGGTCTGATTGATCAGTCTGAAATGAACCAGTCCGCCTCATTCAGTGCGCGCTACTGTTGGCCCTATCATGAAGTTCTGATTATGTTGTTGGTCGTCTGTTATCGCTATCTGTTTCTAAATTGTATTATAACTATCAACGAAGTCCGCGCTTTAAGCGTGGTATCCCGTTTGGCGTGGTATTCCGAGACGGCTGCCGTGGGGGGCGGCTCGGTATTTGACTGGCTGGGCTCCCCTGCCTCCGCAGCCAGCCGCGCAACCCGCGCCAGTGGTACACCAACATGACGGCGCTCATAGTTGAAAAGTACCCGCACCTGTTCGGCGCCATGACGCTGCCGCAGAGACTGGTGAGACGGGCTGCTCTGTCACCGGGGTGCTCTGTGAGGTATCCCTCAGCAGTGAGCTCACTGGTGTGGGGGGGGGGGCGCGTCAGGGGTGCTCTGTAAGGTACCGCCTCAGCAGGGAGCTCACTACCCCGGGGTGCTCTGTAAGGGCACCGCCTCAGTAATGAGCGCACTACTCCGGGAGTACCCCCTCAGAAGCAAGCTCACTGTCGGGAGGCGCACCATGGGTGGGGTGTCGGGGTAGGTAACAACCTCATTAGTATCTAAGCTCGTGCGTTATCAGGGTACGGTGCCTTGCAAAGCAAGATGTCTCGCATGTTGCGCCACACGCTAGTCTTGGACGTCCTTGATATAAATCAAACAGGTCTTGTTCAAATCAACGTCACACGTCATGTATCAACGTTTTTGTTTGTCATGCTGATAGAATTTCTGTCGCATGAGTAAAATAAACTGAACTGAAGAGATGATCCGTTTGCAGAGACTTCTCGAAGACTAAAGTCAATGCGTGTCAGATCAATGCCACCCAGGCCACATTCACTGTTAAGCCCTCCTTTTTACAGGCATTCATGCGGAACAAGTTGATCCACAAATTCAAGAACGGCCGTTTTAAGGTGCAGACGAGCATGCGTCCCAAGCCGCCGGCCGCGCCGCTGCCCTGATCAGTGATCACGGACAGGGCACAGGGTCGACGATGGAGCGGGGGCCGCGCTGCCCTGATCAGTGATCACGGACTGAGGGCACAGGGTTGACGGTGGAGCGGGGGCCGCGCCGCTGCCCTGATCAGTGACCACGGACAGGGCGCAGGGTCGCCGGTGGAGCGGGGGGCCGTGCTGCCCCGAGTGGACGGCTCTGCGACTGGCCGGCCACAGCAAGCGGCCGCCGTCTTTATTATTGCTGGGCCTTGGTTGTGTTGCTCAATGTTAAGTCATTGTTTTGAAGCTCAGCTTTTTTAACGCGGTGTGATTTTACCATGATCATAATAATTACATACAATAATTACAAACTATTAATTGTAGCAGTGATTTTGCGATGTTGCTTCGCCTTCCGGGCTTGTCGCTTTTTATTCGAGTCACTTCTAGCTGTTTGATTCGAGTTCTCTTCCTGTTTTGTTTCGCTTTTGGTTGGTTTTGTCACTAGGGTATCAGAAAATGTTGAATAATAGCTTGATTTTTTGCATTTTTGTTGACCTAAGGACGTCTGCTTAGAGAGCCGAGTGTTGCGGCAGCGCTGCCGTATTAACTAGTAACTAGGTACTACATTTAGTAGGTGTGAGCCGGGCCGTACAGTGGGTGTGAGTCGCACCGTGTAGATTGAGTCGGACCGTGTTGATTGAGTCGGAGCGCGATGGGTCTGAGTCGGACCTCAGCGAGTCTGAGTCGGACCTTGTGAGCCGGACCTTTAGTGGGTCTGAGTCGGACCTTGTGAGTTGTGAGCCAGACCCTAGTGGGTGTGAGTCGGACCTTAGTGTTCATTGCCAATCGCTGCCGGAACTATGTGGAGGTTGTGAAATACATAGAGATTAGACAGCTTCATATTTGAGCGTTTGATATTTTGGAATGGATTCAACGCTTCTTCGGAGTATTGGCAAAAAACGACAAGCCCACCCACTGTCTGTAACACATAGCAGGGGTGCTCTGTATGAACGCACTATGAAGCGGATAGCGTGAATATCGGCGATGACGGTCGCGCAGTCGATAAGATCTATCGACAAGCGGACCTTGGCGAGAGCTTCCACTGGGTTAGTCACTCACTCTATGGGCTGGATGGGGAACGAAGTGTAAGAAATAGACGAAAATAGAAATCGAAATAGGCCCTGCTCACTCAGTGCTCAGTGCTCATTTAATAGTGGTATTTTGCTATGCTAGCTTTATTTGCAGCACACCAGTAAAACTTGTGTTTTCTGAAAAAGTAATCCGGTGAGAGATAAGTTGCACAACGATCAAATGCTTATTTCACTTTCTACATAGAGAAGGCGTACTAGCTAAGGTCGGACTTAAATCGGAACCCGTGGGTTGCATAATATTGAGTCACGTTACATATAGTAACCAGTATAACGCCTTTTGGGGCGACTAACGGAGCGAGCGAGAGGGTGAGCCTTGCACGTGCGAAATTTCGACGGGGTACCTCCAGCTGACTTGTGCACGGCACCCTACTAACCGGTCTCTAGCGATGTGCCAAATTTGAGCACAATCGGCCCAGCCGTTCTCGAGATCTGGAAGCGGCACCCTGCACGTGCGCACGTGCAAAATGGGCCTCAACTGACTTGTGCACGGCACCCTACTAACCGGTCCCTAACCATGTACCAAATTTGAGCGCCATCGGTCCAGCCGTTCTCGAGATCTGGAATCGACCCCTGCACGTGCGCACGTGCAGCAGCACCTCAACTCTGGCACATGGATATGCATTGCATAGTGGGTGCCTACCTACATGCCAACTTTCAGCGCAATCGGCCAAGTAGTTACCGAGATATTGCAACAATTGCAAAAGTGACACCTCTTCGTTTTGCACGTGGCACGTGCATAAGGGGTCACCCACATGCATCGGGAATAGTCCAATACTTGGTAGCAGGAATGAAGCTACCCTACAAAAATTACCGCATGTAAATCGGTCAAGTGGTTGCTGAGATATAAGCCTCGCAAAAGCGTGACCACGGCCGGCCGGCCGGCCGCTCATACTCAGAAATTTCCGTTAATCTAAAGAAAGACTACGCTCGCTTCGCTCGCTCCGTAATTAATGGATGGCTCACGCCGCCTCCAACCAGTATGAAAAGTGAGCACCGCGTACCCCCACTTACATCCCTCTCCCGCCAAGGGTACGACGGTGCTGCTGCTGGCGATTGCCAGTTTCCATGTGCCTCCACTACCCCCCGGCGAAGGGACGGCAGGGTTGTGGTGCTGTGATTTCCGCGCACCCCTCTAGTCCCCGGTCAGGGGGACGGCAGGGTTGTGGTGCTGGTGGCGGTGGTCGGAGTCAGCAGCGCGCCGCCCTCCTCGGCGGTCAGCAGGCCGGCGCCGGCCGCGTAGCCGCTCTCCTGGCCCCACTGCGGGTCGTACTCGAAGACGCGGTAGCTGGCGGGCTGCTGCTCGCTGGCCAGCCCCAGGCAGCTGACCTGGGCGGGCGGCGGCGGCGGGCTGTCCGCCGCCGGGTCGGCCGCCACCGCCGCCCACAGCTCGGTCAGACTCTCGTTCATGACGGCGCGCGGGCCGGTGGCGTCGCCGCCGTCGTCGAACGCCAGGACGCGACCGTCGTCGAAGGTGACGCGGAACCAGCGGAAGTGCAGCGGGTCGACGGCGGCGGCGGCGCGCAGCGGGTAGGGCAGCACCGCCTGGCCATCGGCGCTCAGCCGCACCTGCGTCCCGTTCCCGTCCAGCACGACGTGCACCAGCGCCGACGTCAGGGCCGTCTCCTTGAACAGCACGTGGCAGCCGGCGGCGCCCGCGCACAGGAACTCAACGCTCCAGGAGGGCACCGGCGCGGCCGCCACGCGCCGCCACAGCGCGCTCTTGGCCGGCACCGTGTAGACGCGCTGGGCCGTCCAGCCGGCCTCGGTGGCGGTCCAGGGGTCGGCCAGCGGTCGGCCCAGCCGCCAGACGTTAGTGTAGCCCTGAAGGTTGACGAATTCGACGGCCGCGTGCGGGCTGCCGATCGGCAGACTGGTGGTGACCGGGTCGCCGCCCTCGGGCCGCGTCACGTTCACCTGCAGCACGCCGTCACACCAGCTGACCCAGAGCGAGGTCAGTTCCGGAGGGCGCAGCAGCGGCCACTGCGGGTCCACCAGCTCGGAGGCGCTGGCGCCGGACGCCGAGACCGTCTCTGAGATGGCCACCATGTCGTTGAACACGAAGACGACGAACAGGAAGCTGACGTCGGCGGCCGGTCCGAAGCCGAGCGCCAGCAGCGACTGGCCGGTGGCGCCGATACTGAGCTGACACTGCTGCTCGGTGATCTGTTTCCAGACGGCGCCGAAGGTGCCGCGGGTCGTCCACACGTCCACACTGGCCGGCAGCCGGTGGCCCAGCAGCGTCCACGAGTCGTCCCCTCCGGCGGCCGGCGTGCAGACCCTCTCACAGGCGTCCGAGCCGTCCCGCGGGCCGGGACACCGGTCGCCGACGGGCCGCGGCGCCGGCAGGCTCACCGCCACGTACCTGCCATCTGTCGGCGACTGCTGGTACTCGAGCCCGCCGCCGTCACCGTCGCAGGCGGCGCGCGCGTACAGACGGCACCAGCCGCCGCCGTGGTGGACGGCCGCGCAGCCGGCGGCGGGGGCGCGCAGACAGCGCAGCGCGCAGCTCAGCAGCGACGGCGCCGGCGCCTGGGCCGAGGGCGGCGCGCGCGGCACCACCGCCGGCCAGACGCGGGTCGACAGGGAGCCCTGGCAGCGGCCGAGCGCGGCCAGCAGAGCCGCCAGCGCCGTCAGCAGACAGAGCCGCGGGCGGCGGGCGCCGACGGCAGACATCGGGCTGGGTGTCCGGGGACTGCCTCCAACCTCAGCGGCCAGTGCCCTGCAGCCGGCGGTCACCTGCACTGGGACCTGCAGTCGGCCGCCGCTCCCACGTGCCTGCCGCGCTCCCGTCTGGTGTTTCACACCGAGCAGCCCTCACTCAGGCTCGGCCGAGGTACGCCGCACTGTCCGGCGTCCGTCCGCAGCAGGGCTTTGGTGGGAAACTCTGCCCGAACGGTGCCGGATGGAGTGCTTCTGCTGGCGTGACTTCGCACAGCACAGTGGCTGTATGTGTGCTGCGTGTGGACTTTATAAGAGCTCGCCCCCAGCAACCCCTCTGAGCCAGTGCGGGGAAGGCAAACACGACCAGCCGCAGCAACCACTTCAATGGGCTTTGGGCATTCTATGAGCTGTCAGACTCGGTGGTGGCGTGGGTTTCTGACGTTCTATAGGAGCTCCACATACCGTGGTTTTCAGCGTACAGCAGTGCCTGAGTGCCCTCAATGCCCAGTTGTCCAGTGGACACGATTGAGGAGTGATCTCTTCAAGAGGGTTTCTTTGGCTTCTGGCTGCACCGATCTGTCAAGTAACACATTCATTTCCTGTCACCGACCGTGGAATGACGTCACGCGTTGCCAGGGGTTTATCAAAGCCCCGACAGTTCCTACAGATCCTTCATTCCTGCGGTGCACCGCACCTTACGAATGGGGCGAACATACCGGCGCACCTAACTCATGTATCATGTGCTGTCACCTCTGATACTCTTATTACAAACACTGGTTGTGTCCGCTACGATTGAGGGAGCGCGGTCGAGGCGCTGTCTTTTGGAGCCGTCTTTTGTCTTTTGGCCGTTGAGTGGGTACTGGGTGGGTAAGGGTGTGCGGGGTCACTGGGTCTCTGTGTGTGTGGTGGGGGAGGGAGGAGGTCCGGCTAGGTCTCCACAGGGGGCCACTCTGTGTGGAGGTGCGCGGCTGTTTCCACGGTGGGGCACTCTGTCTGTGTGGGTGGGTGTGGAGGTCCGGCTGTCCCCACGGGAGGCCACTGGGTCTGTGTGTGTGGGGGGGGGGGGTCCGTCTGTTCCCACACTGGGTCTGTGCGAGGACACACTCCGGGGCTGACAGGTCCCCACCGTGTGTGACCGATCGCCCGCCGTCAGTACGACTTCGGTCGGTACACAATATATGTAGGGTAGCCTGGGGCAAGACGCCCCAGATAATTTATTTTGCTACATAAATTTTGTCCCACATCACCTGGAAGGCCAAATTTGTGCTCAATGCGTTCTATGGACATTTTACTTTAAATTGCACCCCTCAAATTTATTCACTTATGATCGGACTCCAAGCTAGGAAGTGATTTGTGAAGCAACTGCAAATGGGGCATTTTGCCCCAACCCCAGGGCAAAACGCCCCACGGCCTGGGGCAAGTAGCCCCTTACTTTAGATTAAAGATTTAACATGGTAGTTGGCTAAATCTTATGTGAGAGGTCCGTTAGACCTCTGGAGGCACGGCACTGAAGTTAGCACATTCCATCCTGTCAGGTGTTCAGCTATGACACTGTTGTATGAGCAGGTTTTTCACCTACCTCATATGACCAAATAATAAATTATTGCAATGCAAATGTTAACAAAATACTTCCTTTGCCATCCAGTTGCTGAGAAAAATACACATAAAGGCATAGAAACTTACTGTTCGCCAGCTACCGCAGGGCCTCGGCTAACATGTTAACTGGTGGGCCAAATGGCCCACCAGTCACCCGAAATGGCCCACCAGCCTTAAAGATTTGGCCCACCAGTAATTTTCCGAAAAATCTAAGTTTTCACATTTTACATCACGACGTAGGTAACATTGTGATACAGACAGAGACAGAGGCCCTACTACATTGTTGCATTTATTAAAAGTAAGAACTTGATCGTCGTTGCCCGCCTAATACCATCACCATTCCCGGTTTCTTGAGACAGCCGTAGGTTAAGCCTCGGTCACACTTCACCGGATTGGACCAATGGACGAGAAATGGACGGCGTCCGGTGATGTCCGGGGTCCGGGGGATGTCCGTTCGTTTCCGTTGGACGTCCGTTTCTCATCCGTTAACCCGC